AACTTGGGTTGTCAAGGATGCAGACTCTTGGAATGTATACACAAGGCATGGGTGAATGAAAAGTTATTCTGGTAAACAATCTTTTGGTTTTTTAAAGATACAAATAAGGTGTGTGATGGAGCCCAGCAATCCCACTCCCACTGCACACCCAAGGAGGTAGAAATGCACTCCCATTGCACACCCAAGGAGGTATAACCTGCGTGATAGCACTTTTGAATAGTATCTCAGTCACTCCTGTAGGAAAAGCTGGAGTGTCTATCATGTTGTGAGTAAACACCTTTTAGTAAAATCCTATTTAATGATAAGAACAAACAAACCATTGATTCATGTAAGAGTATGGACAAATCTGAAAGGCACTGAAGCCAGAAAACATTGCCCACTGCATGAGTCCATGCATAGGAAATGATGTAATAAAAACTATAGTTTTTTGCTGGATAATGGTGATGCACACCTTTAATCCCAGAACTTGGGAGGCAGGGCAAGCAGATCTTTGTGAGTTCAAGGACAGCCTGGTCTACCAAGAAAGTTCCAGGACAGCCAAGTCATACAGAAAACACCTCTTTTAAAAAAGCCAAAAGACAAAAAAACTATAGCACATGGACCTGGAGCAGGGGAAAAGCTGAGAAGGCTAACCTTTGCAGAAGCTGGAACAGTACTGAGTCATGAGGTGGTCACTTATATAAATGTATGGAATTGTATCATTAAAACCAGTGGTTTGTATTGTGCATAAATTGCACCTCAGTGCCAAGAGGTCAAAAAGTAAAGGGTGTGTTATTCACAACCCAAAAATTTCATTTTCAGGTTACTCAATTACATGTCTCAATGACTCAGGAGACACTATTCCCTTAAACTAGAAGCAATATGATATCTCTTGCAGAGAAGTGGGTAAGCTATGGGGCTTCATGAGCAACAATGAGTGAACTATAGCTGCATACAGCATCATGGACACACTTCACAAACACACATGAAACAAAAGAAGCCAGACATGGACAATCATACTCTGTGATTCACTGCACAAAGTTAAACAAACAATAAAACAAGAACAAAACCAGGCCAAGCCAACTATAATGGCTAGGAATGCATTCCTCATAACAAACATCTAAGCAAGTTCAGGAAGATAGATCCAGTGGGCTGAAAGGTTCTGGGCTGCACCCTTGGGCACTTCAGCCTTGTATCTTGGATGAAGCTAGATAAATGCTTATTTAAATGCCATGAAGATGTCATATCTATATTTAATATTTCCTGTGATTGTATTCCATAAAACATGGCTTTTAAAATTAATAGACACCATGGAGCTGGAGAGATAGCTCAGTGGTTAAGAGCACTGCCCTTCCAGAGGACCCAGGTTCAATTCCTAGCACCCAAATGCTAGCTCACAACTGTCTGATACTACAGTTCTAGGAGATCTGACACCCTCACACAGACATACATACAGGCAAAATACCAATGTACATAAGAAAAACTTACTACAAAAGTGTAAAGCAAAAATAATAAACACTGTTACACCCATCTCTGAAAACTCATGATTATGGTTTCATGAGTTCTTTGGAAGACTCACAGAGTGTTTAGTACAGAGATGGATGCTTGTATTGCCTGTCTGAAGTGACAGGTTAACTGTGGCTATTCCTAGAAAAGTGGGGGTGAGGATTAACAATGAAAATTTCAGCTATTTGGCCAGTATGATGTGTGAACGCTTGCTCATAATTCATGAGCTAGAGATGCAACCCCCAAAGTCTTATGTTCATGGGGTTTGGTAGGACCTTTGGTATGTAGTTAGTTGGGTAGCTTTATCATGGAAGGAGCTCTTTGGTGATTCTGTCTTGCCATGTGATGCCCCGCACCCCGTACAACACAAGGACTTCACAGTTGCAAGCACCTCTGGAACTGTGAGCTAAATAAACCTTTGTTCTTTGTAAATGTTAAAGTATTCGGCTATAGTAAATGAGGGTGGACTAAGACATAGATTATAAAGTAAAGAACAAAAATACTAAAGTGGTGGAGTAGAAAAATTTAAGAGCTCAATTAACTGAATCAACATTCTAGGAGATGCAGTTTTAAATGTTAGCAAACATGTAAATATTAAAGTAAGACTCAAGGGTGATAGGAAAATATTACTTAATTCACAGTTGCTGTCTTTTCTGGGCTTAGCACCTCTTGTTTGCTGTGTGGGGCAGTGGTAACTGCCCCCGGAGACTGCCAGACCCACCCAGGTTTGGTGAGAACTTGCTTAGTAATGATTCCTCTCTGGTGTGTGTGTGTTTTCTAGAGTTGCTCTCCTTCCTGCCTGTGAGTCCCTCAGGTCACTTGACTACAACTACCCTGGGTCGCCTCCTTTGCAAGCATGGTAAGTTAAGCAGGCTCTGTGAGGGGAGTTTGAGGAGGGCTCATCGTGAGCTCTTGAAAAACGGATCCTGACACAAAGCAACTCAATTTGCTCTAAAATCCTACTTGGGTTAGTTTCAATGTCACTCTTGGTTTAGATGTCACGAGACTCCTTCCACTCTCTGCTGGGCAGAAACTGCCTGGTGATTGAAAGATCACCACAAGGAGGCAGGGAGTTCCTATAGCTCTTCCAAATTCCAGCAGAGCTCCTTCTCAATACATACCAGGGTGCTCTCCTGCAATCTTATAAAGCTGGATTGGCCAAACTTAAAGATTCTTCTCAGTGGAATTCCCCTCTTCCTGTTGCTGCTGTCCAGTTAGGCTATTGCTGAGCGACTTCCCAGCACTGAAGAAACACCTGCATGCCGGCTCCTGGCCCCATGCTTCAGGCAGAACCAGATCAACGTTTAGTGCATCACAGACACATGCACAAACAGCCATACCAAGATGCAGCTGAAACTTCCATTACCCACCTGATAGAAAACACATATTTGTACTATAGGGAAGTCCTGTACTATGGGGATCCACCACAGGGCCTGTGCACAGAGCCCAATTCCAGCAGTCACTGATTTACTCATGGAAAGCTGGTCTGGGGTAACAGGGAACCTACCTCACCACTTGTTGTGAGGAGTGAATAAAGAAAGTTCTTGAAAGATTTCAGTACAGCACCGGATCAGACAGGCTTCAGACAAAATTGAGGCAATAAGAAAATGACAATAAATTCTGAGAAACGACGATGTTCCCAGGAGTGGGAACATCATGGACAAGGGCCCTGTGGTAATTTTAAGAAATGAAAAATTGTTAAAGAGGTAGCAGTGCCTAGAGGAGAAACAACTCAGAACGGACTGCTTCCCACCTCAAGATCGGAACTCATTCTTCATGGACGGGGGGCCCTCAATCCCTTCCTCCCCAAGCCTAGACATTCGCGGGGCTCCGGGGTGGGGAGCAGAGGGGCAGCTCTGCAACTTGCAGCAGCTCCAAATCTGGTTTCCCTGGAAACTGGAAGAACCAGTGGAAGTTTGCACTGAGCTCTGCTCTCAAGCGTGGGCGCCACGATCCTTAAGCAGGCTCTTGGAGCCTCCTGAGCCACGAGCCAAGCTCACAGAGGCAGGGTTGCTTTGCTTTCTGACGAGTCATCATTCACCAGGGATGCTGTTTCAAATTCTGCTCCGCCTGCTAAAAATACAGAGAAACTGGTTCGCTGTTTCTGAAGCTAAGGACCAAAGTGAAACCCACGCAAACGTCCGGGAGTCTTTGGAAGGCTTCCATACACCCGCCAGCAAGTGGCTTTTAGGAGGGATGGGCAAGAGCCCTAGCGCGGGTGGGCGCGTCTTCCCCAGGCAATTACAGCTCTTGGTTTGGGGAGGGCCCTTTAGCAATAAATAGGGAAGTCTCTGGGCCTTTGGCGGTCGTGAACCTGCTGTACTAAGGGCCGGCGCGCAGGCGCGTTCTACACACACACACACACACACACACACACACACACACACACACACACACACACACACCTGCTCCCGGACCTCGCTCCTCCACACCCCAGCCACCACCACCCCCCACACACACCCATCCCTGCTCCCAGACCTCGCTCCTCCACACCCCAGCCTCAGGCCCAGCAACCAGAGGTTCAGAAGCTACGCAGACCGCCTGAATCATCCACACCCTGGACTTCGGGCCAAGGCGGGGCTGTGAGAGAGAGGCCTCAAACAGGTTCAAATCCGGATTTGAGCTATCATGGCACTCTCCCGTGCATACTTGAGCGCAGAGCAAATTCATTCACCTGCGTGTGAGGAAATTTTCAGCCAGATTGGAGATGGGACTAGACCCAAAGCTGAACTCACCTGACTGTTCCCAAGACTTCATCCATAGCTGGTCCTTGGAGAGAAATCCCCTGCCAGTTCTCCCGCACACCCTATTCACAACCCCCAAGCCCCTACAATATTCTTCACAAACTTCAAGGTAGCAAACACCACCCTTCTACGCACCGCACTCCTGGACACCTCACGCACTACACTGCATGCATTCTGTGTTCACCCTATGCACATCTCGGAATACACACCGCTCCCCGCACCACATAACACATATGCGCACACCATCCTCCCACACCCCACCCTGTAAGACCTATGCATACCCCCCTCATACATGCGCACATGTATGTCAGTAATTCCCAAAGAAACACGCTTTATCCTCCAGTCCCCGAATACCCTGCTCACTCTCCTCTATTCCTTCTGGCCATTTTCCTCCTCCCCCTTTCCTCCTCCGGGCTCCCCCTCATACCCACCCCTGTCGCTGAAAACCCCTCTAACTTCTTCGGGCTTCCGGGTCCAGTCAGGTGGGCGTGGAGACGAACCGCCCAGTGGATTGGGAAAAGCAAATGCAGGGCTTCCAGAGGTGGGAGGTCCTGGGGGTGGCGCCCAGGGGGTCCCTGGAGAAGAAGGCCCAGGTGGTGTTCCTAAGGTGGCAGGCGCTGGACAACGACATTGACAGGGGGAGGACAGGAAGGCGGAGACTTGGCGAGGGGCCCCTTTCCTAGTGGAGGATCCGAGGGGAGTCCTGGGGACCCAAGGGTCGGGAGGGGGCCGCGGAGGGTGGTGTCAGGGCGAGGCGCGCGGAGCCGCGGGTGGGGGGGGCCGCGCGTTCGGAGATCGGCGCCGCGGTCTGGGGAGGGGGCGCGCGCGCCTTGCGGTTTTCCGCGCCGGCTCGGTTCCCGGTGCGGGGTCGCGGCGGCGGCGGGAGGCGGAGGATGCGGGCTCCAGTGGCGGCGGCGCGAGCTCGGGAGGACGCGGGAGGATGAAGAGGAGGCCGGCGGTCCGGCCGCGCGGCGCCGGGAGGAGGCGGGGGCGGCGGCGGGCGGCGGCGGGCGCGCCGGGTGCGGGCCGGCTCCGGCGCGGAGGATGAAGTGGAGCGTCCGCGGGGCCTGCGCCGCGCTTTCCTCCAGCCTGCTGCTCGCCTGCGCGCTCAGCGCCGCCGCCGTCGGCCTCAAGTGCTTCTCTCTAGGCTCTGAGCTGCGCGGGGAGCCGTTCCGGCTAGGGGCGGCCGCAGGCGCCTTTTACTCCGGGTTGCTGTTGGCCGCTGGCCTCTCACTGCTCGGCGCCGCCCTGCTGTGCTGCGGGCCCCGGGAGGCGCCCCTCGCCGGATCAGGGGCTGGGTCGGGCCCCGGACTCGGGGTCCCCGCATCTCCAACGGGCACTCCGGAGCCCTCTCCTGGAGAGACGCGGGCGGCCGGGCCCTTGGGGCGGGTGAATAGCCAGAACCTGCTGCTCCTAGGAGTCCTGGTCTTCATGCTCGGGGTCCTCAGCGCCTTTGCGGGAGCAGTGATCGACGGCGACACAGTGTCCCTGGTGGAACGCAAGTACTCCCACTATTGCCTGCCCCCGCGCACGTCCGCCGCTGGCCCGGGCCCTGGCCCTGTAGCCCCGGGCTCCGGCACGCCGCGCGCTCGCAGCACCCTGGACAGCGCCACGTCCGCCAAATGCCGCCAGCTGAAGGACTACCAGCGCGGCCTGGTGCTCTCCACTGTATTCAACTCGCTCGAGTGCCTGCTGGGCCTGCTCAGCCTTCTACTGGTCAAGAACTACAAGTCGTCGCAGGCCCGGCGCGGCCGGCGCGGCCGGCGGAGGGCAAACCGGTCTTTGGCGCGGCCGCGGGGCGTACCCGGGCTCCGCGCCCAGCCGCTAGCTTCCCGGACCCGGCGCGGCCGCCGGGGCAAAAGGGGGCGGCGGCTGCAGCCCCGGCCCAGCGAGGCCTCTATCCTATCCCCGGAAGAGTCCGACTTCACCACCCCAGGAGACTGCGCGAGCTTCTCGGCGCACCACGCTGTGTCCTACATCAACGTGGGCGTCTTCCATGCGTTTGACGAGGCGGGCGTGGAGGTGTGCTGTGGCGGGCATCCGTCGGTGGAGCTGCCAGGGTACGCGCCTTCGGACCCGGACCTCAACGCCTCCTACCCTTATTGCTGTCGGCCTCCTTGTGAGATGGCGCGCCCTTGGGAGCCTAGCCGGGCCTGCTGAGTCCAGGCCCGTGTGGCTTGGGACATCTGAAAGGGCAGCCGTCGGGCTTTCTTTGCTTGGCGTTGTGCCTGCGCGTGGGTTGGCACTTTTCTGGCCCGGCTCTGTGAGATCTGCAAGACCCTAGGACACTCCGGTATTGTCCTTTCTGTGTGAGGGGGTGTCTCCCCTCTGTGTCATTCGTATCCGGACTCAATTTAAAGTTTACAATAAATGTTTGGGGTGGGCTTGCGGATCACACTCCTCTCAGACAAGTCCGTACCCCAGGACTACGATCAGAAGTCCTGGGTCAAATGGGCAAGAACAGAGAGCTCTTATCGAAGCTGAGCTTCATGTGGAGGACCTCGGCTGAGAGTACAAAGCAGTTGGAACCATAGGAATAGAAGCAAAGAATAACCAACAGCAACACTTTGTACCCGGATGTGCCTGCTTCTGTCGACACTTTCTTACTGTAAAGCTCTCCATAAACAGTGAAAATGTTTGGTAAATTTATTGCAATTTGACATTGGTGAGTTCCTTTATTAAATTGATTGCTATGTTACTGGAGAATTTCATCAGCTTGGAATTAGAGGATGTCTACACTCAGATCAGGATGGGGGAGAGTGGCTGAATTGGGACAGACAAATGCTGAGTTAGAGCAGCTGTGTTCTGCTAGCTGGTTGACTAGGTCCAACCTGTCTCTGAGCTAACTGCTGTGCATGCATGGAGACACTGATGCCAGACCCATGCATTTCTGTTTTTGGAAACTGGCTGTGTGGTTTCTACTGCAAAGCAGTAGGTTTTATTTTTGGTCAACACATATGAACAGTTTAATCCTATTTTGAAAAATCAAAGTCCTAGTTTTTCTGCAAAGATAAATTTCCTGTTAACTCAATAATCTGGTAATTTTGGTTATATAGCATTTCATTTAAAGTATACCACTTTAATAGCCTTAATGAATGTGAAGGACATACCTTTAAGTGAGTTTAATATATGTAACACACAAATGAAATGAGTTCTCTATGACCGGCGTGTCTCCATCCTTCTGGTGGGTTGACTGGAAGTCAAGCAGGCTCTAAGTCTTGGAAATAAGGGGATCCAAAGTTCATGTGCCTGGACTAGTTAGAGTAGGCAGGTAGCAACTCACAGGCCAGCTGGGAGCAGAGCCTTGTTCCAGGAGGTATGCATCTTTCATGTGGAGGAGGGGATAAGCTCCTCTCATGTGCAAATACCCATACCATTCACCAGAGGCTAGAAGAGGCATGGGATCCTGGGTAGTGACTTCAATGTGCAAAAGACTACTTCTAACTGTGAAGAAGCCTTCTGTTTAAGGAGGAGGCACAGTTCCCAGTTGCAGGTTGTGTGATGGAACCTTTCCTCAACTCACAAATGGCCTGCCCAGAACCCTCCTTTATCTTTGGTGACTGTAGGCACCCTACCCTATCTGGGACCTAGCTAGCTGCCCTCTACAGCAAGGGCACTAGAGGATGAGGGGACCCCAATCACATTTCCATGAAGAACACTGAGGTTCACTGCCAGCTGTGGGCCAACCTATGGTGGTGATAACTGGTCTTACTATGTGTAGACATTTCCTTTGACACTTGAGGGTCTGATCAAAGAGTCAGTCCTGACAACTGTTTGAAGCCATCCAAGGAAAAGCCATCACTTATAGCTTGCTCCTTGGCTCTCACCTATAACAGACCTTTGATATCTTGGGACAAGGTGAAAAAAAAAATGTTCAACCTGATTCACTAGTCCTGTTGTTGGTATGCAGTCTAGTCTTCCTGCACCACATTAGTAGCCAACTGCCCATCAGCCTAAACAAAAATGTTACAAATGGCAGCACAAACGGACTTAAGATGCTTTCTCCTGTCTACTCACATCCAAGCATGTGACATTGCCGGGTGTTCCAACTGAGAACTCACAGGTGAGTATTAGGTCACTCTTGTGGGTCCACTCAGCAGCTTTGTGTTTGAGCACAAGCAAGCAGTCTGGGTGGAGTGAATCTGTAGGCTGCATGGATCCACCAGGTCAGTCAGTCCTCATTGGATCTTTGTTTTTTTTTTTTTTTCTTAAGGTGTTTGTTAGTCTTGTACATTTCACATAGATCAAAATGTTAGATGCCTCATGAGTCTTTCAAACTGTTTATCAAGGTCAGTGGCCTCTTTACATTTCAGATTTTTCTTGTAATGAAAGTTTTTCAGGGAGGAATGAAATGGGCAAGACCAGAGGCCATGGAAGGAAAAGCATGATGACATTTGTGCATATTGTCTGACCAGGGCAGCAGGGTGAACCTGGGATGTGGAAGGTGGAGGTTTTCCCCTAGACTTGTGTGAATCAGCCTCTTCCACAAGATTTGGTGTTCCTAACTCCCAAGTTCATTAACATTGTTGGCTCCACTTTTACAGAGGTAAGTATGAGATGTGGGGTAGCAAAGTTCCACTTTTAAAGCTTACTGGAAAAAAAATAAGAATCCTACTATTGTTAAAGTCAGTTTCCTTCAAACATTAGTTGGTTTTCAGGGAACCTGGCTTGGAGGATCATCAGGCTGTTACTGCCCCACTCCGCACTCCAACTCACAGCAGTTTTTTATTGTGTTCGCTTTTTTTCCTGAAGCTTTAAGTAGTTTCCAGCTGATTCTTTGTGTCACTTGGAAAATAAGTCACTTCTTGGCCTTTCTTCCAAAATTAGACACAAACACACCTTGGTGTTTTTACATGGTACATACTATTTGTAAGGCATTATTTGTTCAGGAGGAGGAGCTTCATTGTCCTTAGGACTGGAAGCTTAGAGTTAAGGGGCTAGGTAGGACATGGCATGGACTTGAGTGAAGAAACTGCCAAGGAAGCTATGTTTTATTATAGAATCAGTGAACACTAATAACTGCATTTCCATGCATTGCCTTAGAAGGATGCTCTTTTCATGGTGATGTGAAATAACACTGCACATAATCTCTTGTGGTGTCTTAAGGCCAGATAAGTGAAGTCTGGGTATATGAGACACAAAGACATTCTTGTCTTTGTAGCCTAGCTGTGGGTCCCAATATTATACTGCCATCCTCCTGCAGCAGTGTTATATCATAGGATGAACAGTCAGGAGCCCCTGAGGCCATATTTAAGTATAAACAGGCAGACAGAGAAGACCATTATCAGTGTTAAGGCATTTCAATGGGTTCATGGTGAGATGTTCTGGGATCTGGGCAAGGGGTAGGCTGTCAGGCTAAATCCTCAGGTTCCATGCATGTTATTTAGAGCCTGATACATGCAACTCTAGTGTTAACCACCTGGCACATCCTTGTGAAGTTAGGCTCATCCTACAATATCCTCCAAAGTCATCATCACCCTAAAGTATTTCTTCTCACAGATATCTCAGAGAAAAGTAATAAATGGCAGAGACCTTAAGAAAGATCTGGCATATAACTAAGCACTATACCTGTTCCACCTTCTCTGAGAGTGTTGCTGTGGTCTCATGTCAACAGCTGTGATTTCCAGGGCCCAGTGTTCCAGCTTAGTTTACTGCTTAGTCAACAGGAAAAAAATTCCAAAAGGGAGAAAGAAATTTATTTAGGACAGGAGCAAGCAACTTTCTTTATGTTCTCAAAATTGAAATCTGAACCGCTCCCGGGATAAGAGGAAAAGTCTGGTGATTCTGTTCCTAAACTCCCTTCCCAGGGGGAGATGTAAACCAATGTCTCCTCCTCCTAAGGTTCCAACAAGCTGAGATATAATTCCACTAGAGTTCACTGAGTTTACTTAGAAAGCATAGGTGAGTGGTATAGGTGCTCCCTACTAAAAGACACCATTGGAAAGTCTTTACTCAGCAGGGGTGATAGCTTTTCCATAGTCACATAGATGGGGCACCCCCTGCCAATATATACTCTAGCTCCCCCTTAAAACCCTGTGCAATTAAGACAGAATTACATATGGCAGGTAGTATGTAGTGCATAGAGGTAGTCAACAATCCAGCTGGGATGATCTTTTGCAAGCAGGAATAGTCAAACTTCCAAAGATGGAAGTTGTCTGGATAGGGGGATAGTCATGGACAGTAGTCCTGTGGCAGATACGTTCAACCCACTATTCTTAGCCTCTGTGTTCTATATTTTACACATGTGGGTTTCAGAGAGTCCCTGATCTTGTGATATTTCACTTTATGAGCCATTGATCTTCAATGGAACATCACTATCAGATCAATAAAATCTCTTTTTAAACACAGGATACGCCACAAAAGTCATGCTTTTTTGGCCACTTTTCTGTTCATGGCCGACTATGAAGGAAGAATTGAGTCAAGGCCTTTTGCTTCTCCTGGAACCTCTATAAGACCCCTATTGTTCCTGCAGGGGCCACAATCCAATCGGAGTTTTCCTGAATCACTCACTGACCTTTCTTCATCTCTTTTCTTATTTTCTTTTTCTTCTTTTCTTCCCTTTTTGAGGCAGGATCTCATTTTTTCACTCTGGTAGGCCTGGACTCCATATATAAACCTGGCTGTTTTTGAGTTTACAAGAGATCTGCCTGCCTCTGCCTCTGGAATTAAAAGTGTGTGCCACCACTGTCTGGCATTGGCATTCATATCTGCTATTAATGCAATATTTTCTTGAAACAACCTTACTATGGTTTGCCCAGGGATGGGGAAGAGCTGATGGGCGTTTCCAATGGGGAATCCAGTGACTTAATACATATGAGGATGTACAATGATGCTCCAGGCAGATAAAAGGCCTGCGGTATATATGAGGGAAGTCCACATATGAGGGAAGAGCCTGTGATCAGATGTGGTTGAGTCCCGATGGCATTTCAAGAGGGCCATTTTTATCTTTCTCTGTGAGGAGCATATGTAGGGAAAAAGGGAGACTACCTAGATGAGAATATGTAGAGAGGAGGAAAGAAGGGCCTTGAGAATGATGCAGTAATAACATCAGCAATGATGAACAGCAGTGGGCAGACCCCAATACTTTTGGTGCTTCATGCCATTTATAACCCTTGTCCTCTTGAGGCTCTGATACTGTTAACATGTGGTTTATAAACAAAACAGAGGAGCCTAAGGACCCCAGCACACTTGCCCTTCAAGGAAGCAGAGATGAGG